TGCCCCTATGTGAGGTCAGACCCTTTACTTTGCTGTGGATCCGTTTGTTTCATTCATACTGCATCAGACAGATTGATATTCTGTTAACTTTAGAGAAAACACTCTTCATTATGAAACCAAAACAACAAATCTTACAGATTTTAACAGAGAAGAATTCCAGGAGGAAAACCTCCACAGAGTTTGGGGGAACCAGTAAGGCAAAGCTGACTCTACAGTTCAAGTTTCCTCTTCCTTTTGAGATTTTGTTATGTTTATTCTTACATCTACTGCCTTATCCTGTACTGAAAGGTACACTGCTCTCCTAAGATAGTGATCCAAGTACTGCCACCACCCAAATCAATTTTGGCCTTTTCCATGGCACAACTGAATCATACTGGGATTTCCCAAATGAATTTTATTAGAAACTAAGGAAAAATACTTTCATATGTTGGGGCCTAACATGTGTATAGAAAAGATGCATTTGTTTATTTGTTTATTCATTATATCTTCAGCTATCTGTTGAGTGTCTTCGGTGTGTATTATGCTCAATACTTTAGGTAAAGTCAGAGGTTATATAACACAGTCTATGTTCTCCACACAGAATCTAAGTGAGCAGAGAATAAAAAAAGAACCAATAACTGCATATAATGTAACAGTATACAAATTAGGTGCAATGGTGAGACAGACATGGGAGTGGCTTTCTCTACCCAAGGAGGTTGGGAAGGGCCGTAGTGGAGAGCATATTTGAGTCTGGGGAAAATGTCAGCAGTTCAGTCTGGCTAGAGCATACATGTGGAAGAGGAGACAGACAAAGAAGAGAACAGGAAGACAGACAAGGGCCCAATCTTGGAAGATGTTATATGTCATGCTAAAGAATTTAGACTTTATCTTGCATGCAGTAAGGAGATTTTTCAAGGGTAAATTTGCATTTTAGATGGTTTTCTCTGGCAGGAAAGTCCAAAAAAGAGAAAATGAAGACCTAAATATAAGCAGTGCAATTGGGAGAGGAAATGGAGGTCTCTTTAAGTAGGTACTTTAAGTGGATACTTTAAGGGGGATGAATTAGTAAGTCCTAATGACCAGTTGGATGGAGCTAAGCATGACTTATATGTTTCCAATCAGACTGACTAGCTGAATGGGGGAAGAATAATAAATGTGTAATTTCCAGTGAAAAGTGTTTTGACTATATCCTTTTTGAGATTCACATTAGAGATTAATTTTTGCCTGCAAGATATTCCTTTCGACCTTTTCTCTAAACTGGTTGATGATTGGTGTGACCTAGGATTCATCATTAATATGAGTTACATTATGGTTTCATAAATCAAACAAAACCATTTGCAGGATAATAAATCTATTCCTACCACACCCCAGCACTTAGTGAAGATTTCCCTAAGAGTCTTTCCAGAGCTTACACCCACACAAATATGCTCTGAAAAATTATATTCAAATTCTTTCCTACCAATGTTAGCCTAATAATACATCAACTGTGTAACACATTACTTCATCAAAGATACCATAGCCAGGTTTATGCAAGTATGTGTAGATTCAGCCCATAATATGAGTCCTATGACTTCTGATCTTGAATCAAATAACTCAAATCTGATAAACAAGTGTATGTATGCTTTCATTCTATCTATCCATGCCATTTCCTTTCATTAGGAAGGTAGAAGGTAGCATATAAATAATAAACTCCCTATGAATTAGTTAGAGCCATGAATAAAAATGAGAAAATGAAGCAGTTATGAAATTCTTTGGGATTTAGAAATGATAAAATTAGGACACAAATGTTAAGATAATGTTTATTATATTCCATGCAGTGTTAAACACAATGAATGTATTATTTCATTTGATACTCAAAGTGATCCTATGAGCTAAGCATTATAACATCATCTTTACCCATGAAACTGCTAGGTTTAGAGAAGTTAAGTAATTCTAAGGACATAGAGCCAGTAAATGGCAGAACTGAGATTTGACTGAATAGTCAGTGGAAATCCCAAGGGTTTAGGAGATGAAGACTTGACACTAGGTCTTTGAAAAACTAGGTCTTTCTTCTAGATTTCCAGTGGTGAATTATACCTGAGGCTAATATTAGGGAAATGAAGTCAGCCCTAGCAACCACAGCAGAGACAAAAGATATAGAGAAGATATAGAGAAGAGGTTTGCCACTTAGCATGCTTTGAGGAGTACACACACATAACAATAATATTATGGATTTTCTTCTAGGAAATCTGGCAACCAGAAATCCTGCCAACTTTTTGTACCTCTGAATGGCATATGCTAGTCCTAGATTGGGTACTAATATACAAAAAGACAATATACTTAAATATAGTGATTTCCAGACATTTTGCTCACATCATCCCCAAAACTTTTGTAAAATGATCTAAAACTATATCATGCCTGTCACATTATTAAGTTCCCTTAGCGTAATGTATTTTAGCCCTGAAATTTTTTTCATTGATTACCTTATAATTTTTCCTTGTAGCAAACATATGTACTAGATAAATTGAAATTTCATTAGTTAAAATTTTTCCCAGGTTGCACTGCTGTACAAGTTAGTAGTACAAAATGGATCAAACATGAATATATAATATGTGGGAGGTAATATACAGGCATACCTCAGAGATGTTGTGCATTTGGTTCCAGAACACAATAAAACAAATGTTTCAGTAAAGATAGTCACACAAATTTTTCAGCTTCACAGTGCATATTAAAGTTATCTTTAGAGCTGGGCATGGTGGTGCATGCTTGTAGTCCCAGTTTAGGAGTTTGAGAACAGCTTGAGCAAAAGAGCAAGACCCCATCTTAAAAACAAAGTTATATTTAAACCACACTGTAGTCTATTAAGTATGCAATAGCATTCTATCTAAAAAACAATGTGCATACCTTAATTTACAAATATTTTATTATTACAAATGTTAATGATCATCTCAGCCTCAGTGAGTCATAATCTAATATCTTTGCTGGTGGATGGTGTGGCCTCAATGCTAATGGCTGCTGATTGATCAGGGTGGTGGTCACTAGAGGTCAGAGCAGCTGTGGCAATTTCTGAAAATAAGGTAACATGAAGTTTGCCAAATCAATTGACTCTTCATTTCATGAAATATTTCTCTGTAGCATGGTATGCTGCCTGATAGCATTTTACTGACAGTATAACTTCTTTCAGAATTGGAGTCAATCCTCTCAAATTGTTCTAATGTTTTATCAGCTAAGTTTATAAAATATTCTAAACACTTTGTTGTCATTTCAACAACATTCACAGCATCTTTACCAGGAGTAGGTTCCATCTCAAGAAATCACGTTTTTGCTCATCTATGAGGAGCAACTTTTTTTTGTTTGTTTTTTTTTTTTTTTTGAGATAGAGTCTCACTCTGTCGCTCAGGCTGGAGTGCAGTGGTGCAATCTCGGCTCACTGCAAGCTCCGCCTCCTGGGTTCACACCATTCTCCTGCCTCAGCCTCCCAAGTAGCTGGGACTACAGGCGCCCACCACCACGCCCGGCTAATTTTTTATATTTTTAGTAGAGACGGGGTTTCACTGTGTTAGCCAAGATGGTCTCGATCTCCTGACCTCGTGATCCACTGGCCTAAGCCTTCCTTAGTGCTGGGATTACAGGCGTGAGCCACCTGGCCCGGCAGAGAAGCAACTTTTAATCTGTTCAAGTTTTATCATGAGATGGCAGCAATTCAGTCACATCTTCACAATCTACTTCTAATTATTTTCTCTTGTTATTTCTACCACATCTTCAGTTAGGTCCTCCAATGAATTCTTGAACCCCTCAAAGTCATCTGTGAATGATAAAATCAACTTCTTTCAAATTCCTGTCGATGTTGATATTTTGAACTCCACCCATAAATTATGAATGTTCTCAATGACATCTAAAATGGTGAATATTTTTGGATAGTTTTCAATTTACTTCGCCCAAATCCATCAGATGAATGTATTTATGGCAGCCATGGCCTTACAGAATGTCTTTCTTGAATAATAAGACTTGAAAGTTGAAATACTTCTTGATCCATGGGCTGAAGAATGGGTTTGTGTTAGCAGTCATGAAAACAACATTAATCTGCTTGTACATCTTCATTAGAGCTCTTGAGTGGCCAGGTGTGTTGTTAATGAGCAGTAATATTTTGAAATACTTTTTATTTCTAAGCAGCATGCCTCAAGAGTGGGCTTAAAATATTTGTTAAACTATGTTATAAACAAATACGCTATCATTGAGGCTTTGTTTTATTTCTAGAGCATAGGCAGAGTGAATTTCACATAATTCTTAAGGGCCTTAGAATATTCAGAATGGAAAGTGAACATTGGCTTCAACTTAAAGTCATCAGCTGCATTAGCCGCTAACAAGAGAAACAGCCTGTCCTTTGAAGCTTTGAAGCCAGGCATTGACTACTTTCTAGCTAAGAAAGTCCTAGATGGCACCATGTTGCGATAGAAGGCTGTTTCAACTACATTGAAAATCTGTTTGTTGATGAAGCCACCTTTATCAGTGATCTTAGCTAGATCTTTGATATGACTTGCTGCAGCTTCTATATCAGTGTTTACTGCTTTACTTTGCATTTTATGTGACAGTGACAGCTTATTTTCTTAAACCTCATGAACCAACCTCTGCTAGGTTCAGAGTTTTCTTCTGCTGCTTCCTCATCTCTCTCAGTCTTCATGGAATTGAAGACAGTTAGGACATTGCTCTGGATGGCTTAAGGGAATGTTGTGGCTGGTTTGATCTATCCAGACCACTAAAACTTTATCCATATCAGCAATAAGGTTCTTTTGCTTTCTTATCAATCATGTGTTCACTGAAGTAGCACTCTAATTTCCTTTAAGGACTTTCTTCTTTGCATTTGCAACTTGGCTCTTTCGCCTAGCCTTCAGTCTATCTTGGCTTTCAACATGCCTTTCTCACTAAGCTTAATCATAACTAGCTTTCCACTTAATGTGAAACATGAGACTTCCTTTCCCTTGAACATGTAAAGGCCACTGTAGGGTTATTAATTGACCTAATTTCAATATTTTGTGTTTCAGGGACTAGAGAGGCCCAAGAAGAACGAAAGACAGAGGAATAACAGGTCAGTGGAGCAGTCAGAACACACACAACGTTTGTGGTGCCCACAAACAGTTACAGTAGTAATATTAAAGATCACTGATGACATATCACCATAACAGATATAATAATAATGAAAAAGCTTGATATTATGAGAATTACCAAAATGTGACATGGAGACATACAGCGAGTACATACTGTTGGGATAATGGTGCTAACAGACTTGTTTGACACAGAGTCACCACAAACCTTCAACTGGTAAAAAAAAAAAAAAAAACACATACACACACATTATCTGGGAAGGGCAGCAAAGTAGAGTGCAATAAAATGAGGTATGCCTGTAATTGGATAAAATTTCAAACTTAAAAAAAGTTAATAGGACTGTTTTTCTTTATTCAAATTATTTCAGATATCTATCACTAGTATCTCATTACTAGAATGAAGCAAGGTTCAGCATCAATATTATTCTTACTTTTTATTTTCATACATAAAAAGCAGTGAGACATTTTATTCACACGACTAAGTAGATTGGAGTGGAAATGGAATATTATAAAAAATGTCACTCAATCTCCCTGCTTCTTTGTTAAATGTCAGCAAACACACTGGGAATTGAGTAATGGAAATCTTATTGAATGATCTGTCAACTGAAAAATTGATTAGATCCTCCTTCAGTTTTTTCTTAATCGAAGAGCTAGAAACCACCTGATTTGCAACAAATCTCCACTTACTAGTGTCTTTTGCTTTCTCAACATTAACATCAATATTTTAAAATGTTCCTTTGTTTGTCACCCACTGGGGTTTTTACACTCTGGAGAAATGAACCAAATCAACTTTCAGATAGGTGTGGAGGGCTTCTGTCTTTTGTAAAGCGGAAGAAAAGTTCTTGTGAGGAGTAAGTGGGGGGAAAAGCCTATGCTTCATCTCACACATCTCAGACACTTTGTGGAAACTGAATATCTGAAAATTCAGTCCCTTACAGACATCTATGTGTGTGTATCCCTCAGAAAGTCTTCTCACACCATCAAGATATGTACAGCACTTTGAACACCACTGCTTCAGTGCCCTAGCTTCTATGCATGGAAATCATAGTATTTTTGGTTTTCTTAGTTGCCTTTATTCCTAAGTGATAGCTAAGTACCTAAGTAATGTGGCTTGAAAAAGCATCAGAATATTTTTGTGGATTCTAAATTACTTCCAAAGCAGCGATTCCTGAAATTCTTACCATTACTCATCTAAATGAAGCCTTTAAAATGTTTAATTGGTAGTACTGATTGGAGGAAGTAATACCTAGTGCTTACTGAGTAGGTATTATATGCCAGATACTTTTTAAGGAACTTTACATAAATTTTATTCTACTAATAACACTATAAAGTGGATATTATTAGCTTTATTTTACAGATGAGAAAACTGAAGCACAGAAAATTGAATAGCTTGCCTATGGATTAGCTAGTGGGTGGTAGAGCTGGGCTTCAAACCTAGGCAGTTTGGCTCTAAAACCTGGCACTTTCAACCTCTATGTTAACAAGCTACCACCGTTATTCCTACCTGAACATAATTATATTTCTTACCTTAGTTTTCTACATGTATTTTGAAGTTCTGAGAGTAAGGGGCATAACATAGATGGGGATGTTTTGGAGGGACTGGTAAATAATGCTATAGAACATATGTCTGAGTGGGATCCTGCAGCAATGTCTGTAGACAATGAAAAATTGCAATGACCAAAGACATTATGATCCCAAGAAGGGACAATTGAGGCTCAGAGGCAGGGATGACCAACTTCCAAGAGAATAGGGGATCTGACCTTATCTTGATGACTCTCTGCCGGCCCCTTCAGGAATTTGGTGGGAAAAGTAGAGAATTGGTCCATGTGGTCAGTGATAGATGTTGGGCATCCTATGAATCTAGGCATGTATGGAAGGCCAAGGGGGAGGCCTGTAATACAAGTCACTTCATTCGCTGGACACGTGTATTGTTTACTGTCTCTGTGGATGAACAGTACCTCGCTAAAGACGTGCAGAAGCGATCAGAGCTATAAATGCCTTAGATCATACAGTGTGATATTCACAGTACATACCTAAGTCAGAAATGTTTCAGCTTTAGTTTCACATTATTTCCAACGTTTCTTGCCAATGGCAAATTCAAAGTAAGGCAGGAAGGACCTAGATTGATTAGATTATCTAATGCTTTTTGGATTAATATTAATAAACATAAACCTTAGTTGATGCCTCAGAGGTCAGAAAGTCAGTGCTTGTCAGAACAAGAGAAGGAGGGAATTCCCAAAATCTTGGCAGAAAAAAACATTTGGCCATCTGGAACTATAGTTCTGAGGTTTGCAGCGTCATGTTGTGTTGTGCTTTGAAACGTGGATGTTGTTAGAAGGAAAGAAAAAACAGAAAAGAAAAGCCAAATCATTAGCATCCAAACTATGGAGACTTGTGAGTTAGCATCTGAGATTGTAATTGAAAACCAGCAAGAAGCTTGAGAAGCGGCTCTCAGTTTGGAGCCATTTGTTTCTGGACACCTCTCTCTGAGAGCCAGAACCTTTGGAAAACAGTCTGTTGATAAAGAACTATCGAAGAAAGTCAGAGACTTACTAAAGCTTACATATGAAAGTAAATCCTTTAATTCACCTGGAAAGTCCACCTAGACAGAATGAATTCTTGCCTTTATTGCTAACTATACTGAAAACCTTAAAAACTTGGGGAATCCTGAATTGAACAGTAGTAAGTGTCCCTTTGTCATCATTTACTCCCAGATAAAATCTGGCAGAGGATTTGAGACATCCCTAAAGTGAGAGACATTCTTAGTGTATACCTTCCAAATATGAGTCAGCTGTGATAAAGCTTTTCAAAACACTTAGTCTTAGCCTGGGAACAGTACTAAAATAAAGGGAATATTAGATGTACCATACCATGAACAGCTGAGCTACCTTTTTACTGTTGTGTTTATTTCTGGGGTTTAGGGTTTTGTTTTATTTTGTTTGTTTTTTGTTGTTGTTGTTGTTGTTTTTGAAATGGAGTCTCGCTCTGTTGCCCAGACTGGAGTGTGGCGCAATCTCGGCTCACTGCAACTTCCGCCTCCTGGGTTCAAGGAATTCCCCTGTCTTAGCCTCCTGAGTAGCTGGGACTACAGGCACATGCCACCATGCCCGGCTAATTTTTGTATGTTTAGTAGAGATGAGGTTTCACCCTATTCATCAGGCTGGTCTCAAACTCCTGACCGCAGGTGATCCACCTGCCTCAGCCTTCCAAAGTGCTGGGATTACAGGCATGAGCCACTGCACCCACCCTGGAGTTTAGGTTTTAAGAGAAACACTGATAAGTTGGAGCACGTACAGAGTAAAGGAATCAGAATGATTACAAGCTTGGAAACAAATCAAAGAAGAAACAAATAACGGCAATGAGAAAGCTTGGCCTCAAAAGCGAAAAAGGAAAAAATGATGTGATTCCATGTTTGAAGGAATGTTGTGTGGGAAAGGGAGTAAACTCACTCTAGGTTGCTCTAATAGGGCAGAGGTAAAGGGGAAGCTTTAAAGAGGCCAATTTAAACCCACTATAGGAAAGAGTGATCTAATAATTCAAAATTATCAAATGTGGAATGGGCTGTCTTATGAGGTAGTAGATTGGAAATGATCAAGAAAAAGTTGTTATAGAAGTTACAGAGGGTGGGGTTTTCACAGGGGGCAGAAGTTTGGGCTAGGTGATTTACACAATTCTTCTACCTCTCTAATTGTTATCTTTTCTTTCAAACCACTTAACTCTGGCACAGATTTTTAAAATGAAAATTGCAGTTGGAAATTCCCTTTGTTTTCCTCCTTTACTTTAAAGATATATCCACCTTATGAGGCAAACAGGTTGACTGCTTGTCGAGTTGCACTTACTCATTAGAAAATATGACTATGGTTTGCAAGATAGCTTTCTGTGATGACATTTTTGGAGACAGTGGTCTGAATGCAAATTGTCATGCTATTTTCCAGGCCCCAAAGACTTTCCTGTGGGCAAAAGGAAGAGGCTTATAGTTTTACTAAAATAAAAGACATTAATCTGTTTGATGGTTACAGAGCATTCTTGCCCTGAGGAAAGGATATAATCACATAAGTGAAAAGGGAATACTTTTACACTGTTGTGGTACTACAGACGAGTACAATCACTATGGAAAACAGTGGAGATGCCTTAAGGAACAAAAAGTAGATCTATCACTTGATCCAGAAGTCCCACTCCTGGGTATCTACCCAGAGGAAAAGAAATCATACAAAAAAGGTACTTGCACACACATGTTTATACCAGTGCAATTCGCAATTGCAAAAATACAGAACTAGCCCAAATGTCCATCAATTAACAAGTAGATAAAGAAAATGTGGTACACACACACACACACACACACACACACACACACAGAAGAATACTAATCAGCTGTAAAAAGGAATGAAATAACGGCAATGACAGCAACCTGGAGGGAACTGGAGACCATTATTCTAAGTGAAGTAACTCAGAATGGAAAACCAAACATTGTATGTTCTCATTCATAAGTGGGAGCTAAGCTATGAGGATGCAAAGGCATGAGGATAATACAGTGAACTTTGGGGACTCAGGGGAAAGGGTGGGAGGGGATGAGGAATAAAAGACTACACATTGGGTACAGTGTACAATGCTTGGATGATGGGTGCACCAAAATCTCAGAAATCACCACTAAAGAACTAATTCATGTACAAAAATAAATAAGTAAATAAACAAATACCTTTTAAATACTCCTCTGAGCTCCAATATTCCATATTGAAAATATTCCTAGATTTTATGCTTACTTTCCCCTAAATAATTCAGATTTTGCAACATGATACTGTATAATAAATCACGTTTATCTTCCTAGAGTCTTATAAATAATTGATTTATTTTAAAAAATCACTTTATGTAAGACTATTCTTCGAACTACTCTGTAACACATGTGCATTTGTTCACATATTTATTCAGAAAATATTTATTATCCTATTATACCTGGGAGTACAGGTGTGAAAAAGACAGAAAAGGT